CCACCCCCACCGCCCCACCACCACCACCACTATCACCATCCTACCACCACCACCGCCGCCGCCCCATCACCACCCCCGTCGTGGTCACCATAATTATTGTCACCCCACCACCATCCCTACTACTACCATCACCACCACCACTATCCCTACTACTGCCGCCCCACCATCACCACTACCATCCTTATTACTGTCACCCCACTACCATCCCTACTACTACCATCCCACCACCACCACCATTCCTACGACCATCACTTCATCACCATCATCCCTACTATTGCACCCCCCCCACCACCACCACCATTGCTGCCACCCTATCACCATCGTTGTTGTCCCACCATCACTCTTACCACCACCACCCCTACCGCCCCACGACCATCACCACTGTCGCCGCCACTCCCATTATCCCACCGTCGTCACTGCCACCACCCACTATCATTGTCATCTCATTCTTATATTTATTATCATTACAACCATCATCTCATTACTATTGTCACCACCCACCACCACCATATTGTTGCCCACTACTCGTCGTCGCCCACCATTGCCGCTAGCAACTGTTACCCACCCCCTATCACACCACCACCCTTCATCGCCCACAACTATTGCCACCCACTGTCACCCACTCCCACCATACCTACCACCATCCATCACACTATCGCCCAAAAGCACCCATCATCGAGAACCACCACCATCGTTTCTGCCCACCACCATAATCCACCATCGCCACCACTGTCGTCGCCCCACCACAACAACTGGCTACAACCATCGTCATCTCCCACTACTACCATCGCCGTCACTCATGGCTGTCATTACCACCATTATTGTTGCCACCCATAGCTGCCACCACCACCACGGTAGTTGCCACCCACCATAAGTATCACTGCCTTCTACCACTACCACTGCAGCCCACCACCTCTCACTCCCACTATAAATAGTGCTTAATTAAATTCTTTTCTCTCTCCTCTATGTTTGTGATTTGATTTTAAGTGTGAATACAAATATGTTTATTATTGACCATTTTTTTATTTCTCTATTCTTTTAGGGACAAACAATAACTAGTTTATATAATAAAATACAAATATAATTCAAATCTCAAAAGATAAATAAAATAACTTTTGCTTTTCGCGGTTGAGATCTCTTTAAATTTTACTTTAAATTTAATCTGGCGGCTAATATTTACACTCCAAATTTAATATGAAAAATAGGGCTCTAAGGGTGTGTTTGGGAGTGACTTTTTAAAGTACTTTATAAACTTCTCATAAGTATTTTAAAAAAAAATAGTGTTTGGAACCGTCCCACCATCACCACTGCCGCCATCCCACCACCACCTTTGCCACAACAACCACCACTATTGTCGTCACCATACCACCACCGCTACTATCCCAACATTACCCCTAGCACCCTCACTGCTCCATCATCACCCTTTACCACCACCACCACCACCACCCTACCATTGTCGCCACCGTCATCGCCCACCACTACCGCCACCCACTGTCATCCACACCCACCACACCTACCACCATCACCACCACCGTCATTTGCCACCACTCATCACATTATCGCCCAGAAGAACTCATCGTTGCCCACTACCACTATTACCAACCACCATCACCGTCGTCACCCATGACTATCAATATCACTATTGTCACTCATGACTACCACTATCACCATCGTCATCCAAAACCAACCATCACCATCACCATCACCGTTGCTACCCACAGCTACCACCATCACCACGATCGTCGCCACCCGCCACAACCATCACTATCTCCTACCATCACTGCCACTGCTCACCCCTATTACAACTGGAGTTTAAATTTTTTTCTCTCCGCCTACCACCACTACCACTGCTCACCCCTATTACAATTGGGATTTAAATTTTTTTTTTCTTCTATATTTATGATTTGATTTTTGGTATGAATACAAATATGTTTATTGTTGATCTTTTTTTTTTTATTATTATTTTGTGCATTCAGGCACAAATAATAAGTAGTCTAAATTTATATTGTCCCTACCACTACTTGCATTATCCCTCAAAGTTATCTGACCCACTTTTTTTAAAGTTTGAGATTGAGATGAATTTATATTGGGATTTTTTAAATCAATATCCACACATGGGATCACCTTCAGATGCCCTTGCAATATCTAGAATTTTACTCCATTTCTTTAATATGGATAATTTATTTACTCCTTTTCTTTGTCATTTTCTAAATGTCAGAGATTCTTCTATTATTTTACCAAAATTCAAGATTTACCCAAATACATTGTACCTTGCAATTGTTATCTACTCCCGGCCTGAGCTGCTAAGGGGTTTTTGTTTTTGAAACACATGTCAGTGTTTTGCTGATGTCTCGAATCAACCTTTTGTTGTGGAGCAATGTTATGAACTTAATTTACTGACCTAATTCATTATGACATTTAGATTGGTTGTGGGCTCCATCAAATATTGAAACTTAGTATTGATCCAATAGTTCCACTGAAGCCACATCGTTATATCAATAAATTATGTTAAATTTTTAAGTATAAATAGTATTACTCTTTGTTGTGACATTCTATGTTTTTTTTCCCCATTGTTGGGTCACATGCCTAGCACACATGTTTTGGCCTTTTGTAGCCATAACTCAAAATAAGTGACCTACCAGCTAACGATTGCAGTCTGACTAAATATACCATTAGTCACCAGATAATTCAAGTTTAATGGTACCGAAAAACTCTTTTTTTTTGGTATTGTGTCTTCACTCTTCATTTCATAAGATTCTAAAACGTGTAAAATTTTCTTATTTTTATTATTTTATTAAAATTTTAATAAATAATTATAAATTATTTAAATCAAAATTAACACAAGAGTTAAATTTCGATACGTGGCAAATCAGTATCATACTCTTATCCAAATTTTTATGATCCATTGTGCACTGCAGTGCATGAGAAAAACAAAGCTATTCTGGGTGTCAGCTGGAGCCCCTCTTGCATCAGTCATCATCTCCACTATGTTGGTTTTTGCATTCAAAGCTCAACACCATGGCATCAGCGTAGTAAGTTTTTGGGAACCACCACATGAATTCAATATTTAATTTATCAATTCTAGTGAGGGCTAGCATTTGGTAATTAGAGGTCTCAAGTTCGACGCTTGTTATATCCCCTAAAGACTAGACATTCTTATTCTTCGGAGAATATGTTATAAAACCGCTGGGGTTACAGTGACTTTCAAGAGAGTATTCAATGCAAGTCTGAACAGTAACCAAAAAAAAAAAAGATCCACTTGCTCACTTATTATATTTCTATTGGATGATAAAGTCACATTGACATGACAATAATGACATAGTGTCACTGTGACATTCAATATTTTCTCCATTGCAGACTTCATCTTTCATAATTTTGTATCTCATCCTTGGTAGTTAATAATGCTTGTGTCTTTCTACTATAGATTGAAAAATTACAAGAAGGATTAAACCCTCCTTCATGGAACATGTTGCATTTTCATGGAAGTCATTTGGGACTGGTAATGAAAACTAGGCTTGTCACTGGCATCATCTCCCTCACTATGAGTTTCTGTTCTTCTTTCCCCCCTCGTTATCCTGATGAAGTTGAGTTAATGTCAAAGAATAATAATATGATTTTTAACATAACAAATTTGTTTATTTGACATGAAAAAAAGAAAATGTCTAATTTACTTACCTATGCACCAATTACATGTTACAAATACGACCTAGCCAAACTTACGAGTAATGTTACTTGAACCAAATTTATTGATTAAATTTGTTGACCATGGACTTTATGTTGAACAAGAAGGCATAGCTGTGGGAAGGACTTTTGCAGCTCTAAAGAATTACCAAGTAGATGGGAATAAGGAGATGATTGCAATTGGGCTTATGAACATAGTTGGTTCTTCCACTTCTTGCTATGTTACAACAGGTTCACATATAGGTTTGAGCCTAATCCTTTAACCCCAAGTTTTGTAAAATCTCCAATTACTAAGCATAAGCTATCAAAAACATCAACTAAATGTTTTCATAAACATTGAATTTCATATGCTTTCTCTTGATCAACAGTGAATCACAATGCAGGGGCAAAAATTGCAGTCTCTAACATAATAATGGCAGTGACAGTGATGGTGACACCCCTCTTCCTCATGCCACTGTTCCAATACACACCAAACGTTGTGCTGGGTGCAATCATAGTCATGCAGTTGTTGGCCTCATTGACCTCCCTGCTGCTTATCATATCTGGAAGGTCGATAAATTCGATTTTGTTGTAATGTTGTGTGCATTCTTGGGCGTTATTTTCATCTCCATTGAGTATGGTCTAGCCATTGCAGTAAGTTATCCATGTTCTGGTGTTTTAGCTTATATTTTCTGGGTTGTGCTTCTTTTGGCTTGACAATTTTGTTAGAGGATGATACATTTCTAGCTGTTTGTTTCTGTTGGGGTGGGGTTGCCCTGGGGGTGGGGACAAGCCAAGATAGTATCATAGACAATAGAAATTAAGTGCAAGAAATACTTATAACAAGAAAACTTAAGTCATAAGGCATGACAAGGAATATTGACTAGGGTGTTGCTGATAATGATCAGGTAGGGATATCTATATTCAAATTTCTCCTACAAATCACAAGGCCAAAAACGGTGATGTTGGGAAACATACCTGGAACGGATATATATCGCAATCTTCACCATTACAAAGAAGCTGTGAGAGTCCCAGGTTTTCTCATTTTGAGCATTGAAGCGCCAATAAACTTTGCCAACACCACCTAACTTTGCCAACACCACCTATCTCAATGAGAGGTTAGCAGCTGCTATAAATATCTCTTCTAACAATTAACACCCATTTTTCACAGTTGTTTTGATCCTTCTTTTTATTTGAAGGATTTCAAGATGGATAGAAGATTATGTAACAGAAGAAGAAGAAGAAACCAAGAAGCACTCTGGACTCCACTTTGTGATTCTTGATTTATCTGGTAAGTCTTATGAAACATGGTTGTTTTTGTTCCATCTATATCATTTTTGGAATACCGAACTGTCTCAGATCTTGTGCTCATGATTATAATATATATTCTAGATATGCATAATCAATCGTATAAAAAAATAGGATTCTTTTGTGAAAGTCGAGATTGATAACTTGAGGTATCAATCGTTGAAGTGAGCCACCCTGATGGATTAATTTCCTTTTATATAATATAATAAGGTTGTTTAATTGAGCCAATGCGTCTAAGTTTTACTTTTATGGTGCTCAAACAACTTAAATGCTATTGAAACTATTAGAGGTGCAATATAAGATTTGTGAGAGTTGAGGGGGGTAAAACAACTAACTTCAATTGAAAGGTACCATATGTGACAAACTTGATAGTTGAAGAAGAAATGTGAGAGAGATGGCATAGTTAAACTTCAAACCTTCTTTGTTTATCCTCCACTAGTCAGAAAAATAATGGTAGCATAAGCTGCTTATAAGCATCTGCAGTATCTCATCTGAAATATAAATGTAATATGCTCCTATCTATGCTTTTCAGCTGTGAATGCCATAGATACAAGTAGAGTCTCATTTCTCAAGGATTTAAGAATGGCTATGGAAAAGAAAGGGCTTGAGCCAAGAAATATCGACTTTCTTTTCATCTCTCTTGTGCCATTTGGTTTACAAATAGTCTAACACTTCAAATTGTCCTTTTGGCACCACAGCTTGTACTGGTAAATCCACTTGGGGAGGTGATGGACAAATTGCAGCGGGCATATGAATCCCGAGAATTTATGAGGCTAGATGCCCTTTTCTTGACTGTTAGAGAGGTCGTAACTACACTGACTTCCACAATCAAGGGTCAATCATCAAACAATGTATGATGAAAAGTTGTTCATCATCAACTTCTCCTTTTCTGTAGCAACTTTATTACATGATAAAATCATTCATAATCAATATAAAAACGTCGAATGTATAACAATATAGCATTGTAGTCCTGAAAATTTTCATTTATAGATGAAATTAAGATACTTTGTGTAACCATAAAATTGTATGAGGCTCACTTGGATTTTTCATAAAAATCCTGGTTTAAGGGACACTAGTGAGTAGGGTGTCATGTGCCAGATTATCCATGGGTCCCGTTACCTAGCCCGAAAAAAATAGGTCCGATAGTTGGTCTGTCTAAGCCTGAGCCCGAGCTCAATATCCTTAAAAAGAGGGCTTGAGTTTGCCCCCAAACTCATTACTTGGCCCAAAGACAGGCCCAAGAGCCCACCCAAAAAAACTCTGCCCAAGAGCCCGCCTGCCAAGCCAAGCCTAGCTCACCCACCTTTTTTTTGAAAAAAAGTTATATTTTTAGACCATTACATTTGAAAATTTGAAATAAGACTCCTCCCAATGTCAAAATTTGAAGTTTTAAAAATTTAGATACTATAAATAATGTATTATTTTCTTTTCCATTTATTAAGCATACAAGTTTTAAAGGGTAGAGTAATGCAAATAATAGATAATTGAGTAGGTGTCAACTTAATTGGAATGTATTCATTATATTAGATGTAATTCATCTCCTAATCAAAAATAAAATTATTCATTATTTTATTTTTATCCATTTTAAGTCTATTTTTGATTTAAAAATATAATTTATACAAATATTAAGTTATAAAAATATTCATTATTTTTAAATGAAATTGTATATAAAAAAGCCCGCGGACAGGCCTGCCCAGCAAGCCAGCCAAATAGGCTCACGGGTTAGGCTACGAGTAGCCTACTCCAATTCGAAGTTCGGCCAGGTCCGGGCGATAACGTACTTGAGTAAGGGTTAGGGTCTACACTACATAAGCCCGACCCGAAAAAAAAATCCGCTGGCCTAGCCCCTGGCCATGGACACACCTACGAGTGAGCACTTCAATGTCTCATTTCATATCCTCGAGATAGTATGTCATCTCTGAAGCTGTTCTTGTTAACTTGTAGTATGATAAAGGGTTTTCCTAGTTCATTTTGGGTGAATGGGAATAGAAATACAAGGAATTACAGATGATTATAGATTAATTATATATGGATGTCTAGAATCACAAGTTAGAAGCTTGAGAAGACAAGAATAAAAGTGGTCATTCAGCTACAATTTCATGTTATATGCTTGACCTCAAAAGTGAGTAAAATATATATAGTTTTCTTAAGTGCAGGAATCTATCTGTTAGTAACTCGGTCGATTACAGATGTTGTCTCCTTAGGAAAAAGAAGGACAAATTTGAGAGGTGATATAAAAAAATAAAAATAAAAAGATCTTTGAAGGTTGAGAATTATAATAATTAAGTTAAATTAAAGATAAATTCAATAAAGAAAGAACTGGATAATTTTCGGATTTCATCCCACCCATGAACAAGCATTTCTACTCTAAATATATAACTTTTTTTTTAAACATCAAAAATCTAAATATATAACTCATCTGTTTTCGTATTCAAATTAGTACAGACGAATGATTTTCAATTAACAACTGTTGAAAGAATTAAAAATATCAATTGAAAGACAATTTATGATAAAAGAATCATTATCCTAAAGGTTTCAGAAGCTATCACTAACTACCCATACCAAAACCAATTGTACATAGATAATCGAGAAATATACAAACCAAATAGGTTTTCAAAAACATAACTTATTCAAATAATCACATAAACATTAAAACCCTAGTTTATGCTGTAAACCCTAATTCATAGGTTGGGAATCCCTCCTACACTTATCTAGAAAAAAAACTATTCAAACATGACGAAAGTAAAATTGAAAGTAGTTAAAGAAGGCATGTAAATAAAAGCAAGTAAATAAACGCAAATAAATAAAACTTGACTTGAAAATAAACTTAAATGAAGAAGTTTGTATTTAAAACAAGGAATTGAAAACAAGTTCAAGTCAATCCAATCTCTAATCATCTTTATCTATCTGGATTGTGTCCGCCCATGGACACCAATCTAACTCCATATCTAAATGCTAACACGGACAAACACCAATAAGTAGAAGTTTTAGACGTCCTTCTGGAGCAGCACAACAATAAAGAATAAGACACAAACACATCTAGTAACACCTAACATCATATCTTCAGCTTCTCTAATAACAAAAAGCTTGATCGTAGTTCTTCTGCATAATTCTTAGTCAGCCAGGTTGAATGGACAAAACATTTGTCAACGAAACCAAAAAAACATGATTGTGTCAAATGCCTCAAATAAATTGGAAGAAGACATTGAACTATAATAACACCAATTGTTTGTATATCTTGATGGGTTTTTCGTACACCCCAAAAGATTTTAAGATTCTTACTTTGCATACTCAAAAATTAAATTTTTCACATTACACTCTTAATGTATTAAAGTGTTGCAATATGATCTTTTTGTTAGCTTTTATTATTTTTTCCGTAAAAACTAACTCATTATACTTACAGAAAAACTAACAAAGAGGTCACATTTTAACACTTTTGATATATTGAGGGTGTAATATGAGAATTTTAATCTTTAAGGATACAAAATAAAAATATTAAAATCTTTTAAGGTACAAAGTACAATTCGAGCTACGCAATGCCCTTTTGAAGCTTAACTTAGAATGAACGAAATAAAGCAAGAAAATACAATAACTTGTCTTAATTATACGTATCGATTATATTAAAATTTTATTAATAAAAATATTTTAGCTATTTTTATTTTACTCTAAAGAATTCAAAAAAATTACAAAATTAATAATTTAGATACCTCATTTAACATATAGGGAGTATCGGATTTTTTGCATTGATATAAAAAAAACTATGCTCAAATGTAACAAAACATATTAAAATTTAAGGCTATGTTATTATATAAAACAAGTAAAATTAATTTTTATTTTGTTTAAACAAAATATAAAAAAAAAATAACGGGAAAATTCTTCATACATTTCACTTCAACCCTATATTAAAGCAAAACACACCATTCTTTGGTGTGGTTCATTCTTATCTTCATTTAGCTACCCATGTAGCTAGTCAAATTTGGTAATTTATATAATTATTTAGGATGCAAATTTTGAAGATATTTTTTGATGGTGTATTTCAACGTGATGCAATTTTGTGATGACGAGTTAATGAAAGAAATAATATTAGAATTATTGGGATTTGAGCTACTAAACTCGAGGAAATGATACTGAGAATTGTTGGGGAGTTGGGGAATTAACATAGTAGAAATATAGTGGTTCACCAGCTCAAAAGCTCGGCTAATCTACTCTTCAATGGAGATTTTTGCTCATTCCTTCACTATTTACTATACCAAAAGGTTTAAAGAATGTAAGATGTGATACTAGGGTTATGTCCCTCTGTTGGGGGCGTTACATAGTATTTATAGGGATATCCCTTAATCTATGAGATCTGATCCGTGATCCTCGTAAATTGGAGAATTAACACAGTAGAAATATAGTGGTTCACCAGCTTGAGAGCTCGGCTAATCCACTCTTCAATGGAGATTCTCGCTCCTTCCTTCACTATTTAGTATACTAAAAGGTTTATAGAATGTAAGATGTGATACTAAGGTTCTGCTCCTCTGTTGGGGGCGTTACATAGTATTTATAGGGGTATCCCTTAATCTATGAGATCTGATCTATGATCTTCACCATCTATTCGAGGAATTCTCCTTGATCTTAGGAGAGTATCTTGGTTGGTTGAGGATTTTGTGCCTTGAGTGTTACTTCAAACCGTCTGTTGAGTTCTTTGTAGTATTCAGTTGCTTCCTCATTACTTCAGCTTATTATCTCACTTGAGGAGAGCTCTACCTCTGATTTTATGAGCTCTGTATAGCTCTGACTTTCTGAGCTCAGCATACTTGACCTCCATGTTTGACCTCCGTTCTCAAGCTCCTGCTCGGGAATCATTCTGAGTATCATCATTTTTAATGCGTGTATTTAAAGTTTTTGTAAGATAAATATATACATATATTATTTTTGCTAAATATATAGATATATTATTTATGATGCAAATTTATTTTTTGCCCATATTTAGATATCATGCGATAAGTTTATGATAAAAATTTGTTAGTAATTTGGATGCTGTCTACTTGAGAGGCCACATAAAAACATATTTAATATTTTAGGAACTAAAATGATGCAATTGAAATATTGAAAACAAAAATAAGATAAATCTCATACTTTAGAGGACCTCTAATACNGAAGAAGACATTGAACTATAATAACACCAATTGTTTGTATATCTTGATGGGTTTTTCGTACACCCCAAAAGATTTTAAGATTCTTACTTTGCATACTCAAAAATTAAATTTTTCACATTACACTCTCAATGTATTAAAGTGTTGCAATATGATCTTTTTGTTAGCTTTTATTATTTTTTCCGTAAAAACTAACTCATGATACTTACAGAAAAACTAACAAAGAGGTCATATTTTAACACTTTTGATATATTGAGGGTGTAATATGAGAATTTTAATCTTTAAGGATACAAAATAAAAATATTAAAATCTTTTAAGGTACAAAGTACAATTCGAGCTACGCAATGCCCTTTTGAAGCTTAACTTAGAATGAACGAAATAAAGCAAGAAAATACAGTAACTTGTCTTAATTATACGTATCGATTATATTAAAATTTTATTAATAAAAATATTTTAGCTATTTTTATTTTACTCTAAAGAATTCAAAAAAATTACAAAATTAATAATTTCGATACCTCATTTAACATATAGGGAGTATCGGATTTTTTGCATTGATATAAAAAAAACTATGCTCAAATGTAACAAAACATATTAAAATTTAAGGCTATGTTATTATATAAAACAAGTAAAATTAATTTTTATTTTGTTTAAACAAAATATAAAAAAAAAATAACGGGAAAATTCTTCATACATTTCACTTCAACCCTATATTAAAGCAAAACACACCATTCTTTGGTGTGGTTCATTCTTATCTTCATTTAGCTACCCATGTAGCTAGTCAAATTTGGTAATTTATATAATTATTTAGGATGCAAATTTTGAAGATATTTTTTGATGGTGTATTTCAACGTGATGCAATTTTGTGATGACGAGTTAATGAAAGAAATAATATTAGAATTATTGGGATTTGAGCTACTAAACTCGAGGAAATGATACTGAGAATTGTTGGGGAGTTGGGGAATTAACATAGTAGAAATATAGTGGTTCACCAGCTCAAAAGCTCGGCTAATCTACTCTTCAATGGAGATTTTTGCTCATTCCTTCACTATTTACTATACCAAAAGGTTTAAAGAATGTAAGATGTGATACTAGGGTTCTGTCCCTCTGTTGGGGGCGTTACATAGTATTTATAGGGGTATCCCTTAATCTATGAGATCTGATCCGTGATCCTCGTCATCCATCCGAGGAATTCTCCTTGATCTTAGGAGAGTATCTTGGTTGGTTGAGGATTTTATGCCTTGAGTGTTACTTCAAACCACCTGTCAAGTTCTTTGTAGTATCCAATTGTTTGCTCATTGCTTCAGCTTATTATCTCGTTTGAGGGGAGTTCTAGCTCTAGTTTTCTGAGCTCTGACTTTTTGAGCTCAGCATACCTGACCTCCATGTTTGACCTCCGTTCCCGAGCTCCTGCTCGGGAATCATTCAAAGTATCATCAGTTGCCCCCCAGCTCTTGGCCGAGTTGGCTTGGGCAAGGGCTAAACTTAGGATGTAACAGTAATGACTTCCTAATTAGCGACTTCAAAATTTACGAGGGAATATATATTTATTATTATTATTTATTTTTAAAGCGATTGTCAGTAATCATTTCCTTCCTCGTTCCTTGTGCACGTTGCCCGTTTCGAGGCCCACGGTTCCGTTAGCTTTAAATACCCCTGGATCACCGATTTGTTCCTCACTTTACAGATCCTTTTCGGTTTCCTTATCCTTTCACGACTTCATTTTCCCACATTCTGCCACTGGTTTTAGGGTTTTCTCTAAGGGATGGTTTCCCCAATTTTGACTTAGAGGTTTAGCGTGATTTGGTTTCGAATCCCCTCCTCGAGCTTTAATCCGTCACCAATTCG